AAGACGCATCTCATTGACTTCAATTGCAAGGTGGATGATTTGGTTTTGTAAAATGAGTCAGTGACAAATCGGAATTTTTGGGTCTATTCATTGATTGATGAAGATCAAAAATTTTACCCCCACCCCAACTAGCACAGATTGTTTCGCAATACTTAAAATGTTATTTAACTGGTTTATTGAGCCTGAGGTCCTCCATACACAATTTTATCACAGTGACTGTAGTTGAAATAACAGTGCCTATCTTATAAAGACAAAAATGTGTTTTGTTTTAATTAATTAACTGTTACCATCACATTACCTGTTTTTGCGCCCATTAAATAAAATTATCGCCTATAGTGTGTCGTATGTCATTGTTCTAAAGGGTAACAGAACAAATACTATTTGTTTATTCATGGATCTCTTTGGTTAATTTTTTTCATATCTTCCTGAAGTTGTTTCTCCCTTTTCTGAACGTCCGTTTCGAAACATTGATCCTTCATCTGAATAATAGATCTTATGAAAGTAAATGAAGTTTTGTCGGTTACAACAACCGTGGAAATTGAAAATTTTGGTCTTGGGCGGGATTCGAACCCGCGTCTTCAGCATTGCCGGTGCTACGCTCTAACCAACTAAGTCACCACGACCCTACAAATCTTTTTGATTTTTGTTTTGGTGTTGTTAGAGGAAGTTGCGTGGTTCTCAGCTCATTGCCAACCTTCTTAATCCTCCAATAGACCCACACATTTATGACATCGGTTCTCATTCGAATAAGTTACCAGTTATCCTATTATTACTATGTAGGTTTCGTCCATGTGTGGTAAAAGTCTTCATTTTCGCTTTTGGGTTGTTGTAACCGACAAAACTTCGTTTCCTTTTAACATTGCTTATGCGGGCATTGCATACACCGAGTTTTCCCCATATATTGCCTCCCCCCTCCACTACAGGGGTTATGTGAAAAGATATCAAAAAATTGTAAATACAAAAGTTTAACAGCTATTTGCAACATCCTCTTTTAACTTAAAAGCGCTTTTTGAAACTGGTCACTTTTAAAAATGTATATTCTGATTTCTCTTTCAATCTTTCTATGAGCATTCTTGAATTTGGTAATGAAAAAGTTGTCCTAACTACGCAAGAAGAATCCCAAACCGTTAGAATCCTGACCACAAACCCATTCCTGGAAGTACTGAGAAGATCATTTGCGGAAAATTGGCAACAAACCCTGGGTGCTGCATTGGACTGACACATAATTTTATTGAAGTTAAACCAGAAAAATTTCTCGTTGACGCTAGTAAGAATAAATGGAGACATTATGATAAGAATTGCCAATGTTTCTTCCGAAACAGTATAAAAATAAAAGGAGATATTATTGGAACTCTCGAATCAGTTAAGCAAATATCGAACTGTGACCTATCAGATAAGGGAAGTTTTGAAAAATCGAAATTGAATACAGACACCTTGAGGCAGGCTTTAGAGAAATCATGGAAACATCTCGATCCAGATAGACTTCAGGAAGCCACAGATTTTATCTTCAAAGAGGCCGACATATTTGTGATGGATAAAGGAACAGTTTGTTAGGATAGTACGCGACGCACAACTGACAACGTGAACGTCGTCATTGGTTCAGGTATGACGTACACCCGTTTTCTGACGTCAGAAAACAGGTGTACGCTTGGTGTACGTCATATACCTGAACGACCTGAACCAATGACGACGTTTATGGTGGTTTATGTTGTCAGTTGCACAAAACAGTTGTGCATCGCGTACTATCCTAACAAACCGTACCTTAATCGAACCGGACGGATTAGTTTAATTCAATACAAAATTGGCACACCCAATTAGACAACCACCTCGACGTATGCCAGTAGCTAAACAACAGTAAGTGGAAACCCAAATTGATAAAATGCTTCAAAAAGGAATTATTGAAGAATCAAATAGTCCATGGTCTGCGCCAGTAGTATTGGTTATGAAGAAAGATGCAAATCTTAGATTTTGTGTGGACTACCGAATGCCTAATGACGTCACCAAGAAGGACAGCTTCCCTCTCCTGAGGATAGACGATACATCAACAACTCTATCGGGCTCCAAATGACTTTCCACCTTGGATCTTAAAAGTGGATACTGGCAAGTGGCAATACAGAAAGATGACAAAGAGAAAACTGTCTTCAGTACCGGAAGCGAGTTATACGAGTTTAACGTAATGCCTTTCGAATTGTGTAATGCTCCAGCTACGTTTGAGCGACTGATTCATCTTATTTTGCGAGACCTCACATAGAGAACTTGCCTGGTATATTTAGATAATGTCGTGATCATGGGAAATTCGTTTTAAGAACATCTCAATAACCTGAAAAAAGTTTTTGACCGCTTCCGAAATGCCAACTTAAAACTCAATCCAAATAAGTGCAAGCAACAAACATGAACTATAGAGTTTTCTCGGATTATGTTCTTCTTATCGAAGATTTGTAGAAGGATTCGCTAACATAGCTGTTCCGCTTCATCGATTAACGGAAGAAAAATCAACATTCAATTGCACCCAAGAATGTGATTTTGCTTTAAGAAAATTGAAAGAAGCATTATGTACAAACCCAGTGTTGTCCTATCTTAATCAGAAAGGCATGTTGATTTTGGACATAGATACAAGCAACACCAGTATTAGAGCTGTCCTTTCACAAATCCAAAATTCACAAGAGTATGTCGTAGAGAGTACTATAGCAGAACCTTATCAAAGTCGGAGCGAAATTATTATATCACCAGAAGAGAGTTGCTTGCCATAGTAAAAGCAGTCGACCATTTTCATAAGTATCTCTACGTCGACAGACGTAAGTTTCTGATGATGTATGTAGACTAGAATGGAAGGAAGTGTCGAACAAGAGCTTGATTTACAAGGCGTTTTGGGCTCAGTGCAACTCTCTGGCTGTAGAAAATGGATTACTTAAAAGAGTTTGGGAAAGTACCGATGGGAAATCTACAGAGCCACCTGGTTATTCCAAAAGATCGAGTGGAAGATGTATTAAAAGAAATACATGACGGAACTTCATGACATGAGTTAACAAGACTTTGGACAAAATTCGAGAACGTTTTTACTGGGTTCACTATCACGAAGATGTTGGAAGCTGGTGCCGAAAATGCGACATCTGTGCTACCAGTAAAGGCCCTAAACTAAGGCCTCCCCATGAAAGAGTACAACGTCGGTCTCCCATTTGAAAGAATAGCGATAGATGTTGCCAGATCGTTCCCTGAGTCAGAGCGTGGTAACAAATACATGGTTATCATGGATTACTTCAGTAAATGTCCAGAAGTTTTCGCTATTCCCAATTAAGAAGCCATCACTGTTGCCCAGATACTAGTGGACGAAGTCGTCATTAGAGTTACACTCAGATCCAGGGACGAAATTTCGAATCTGCCATCTTCAAGAAAATTTGTGAGATCATTGGTATTCGTAAGACAAGGACAACACTTTTACATCCACAGTCTGATGGCATGGTAGAACGATTTAATAAGACCATAGAGGAACACCTGACAAAAGTGGTCGCAAAGAACCAGCTAGATTGGGACAAACACTTGCCTCTATTTTTAATGGCCTACAGAGCAGCTGTTCACGAGTCAACAGGTGAAAGTCCAGCTAGAATCGTTTTTGGAAGGGAACTCAGGTTACCTTGCGATCTGATGTTTGGAATACCTGAAGAAGAACAAAAAGAAATTCTAGATTATGTCGACGAAGTAAGGGGACGACTTCTGGGTATCCATGATTTTGCTCGGGAGCATATCCAACTGGCTAGTGACCGAATGAAAACCAGATACGACTTGAAAGCCAACTCGGCCGGATTTTGAGAAGGTGATTAAGTGTGACTGTATAATCCCGCAAGAAAGAAAGGAGTGTCGCCGAAGTTATCTTCAGCATGGAAGGACCCTACAGAATAATCAAGAGAATAAATGATTTGGCTTATCGAAATCAACGCAACACCAGAAGTAAGATGAAAGTTGTACATCTAGACAGATTGACGAAATATCATGGGCGTGAAGTTGATCGGGACGATCAACCTTAAGAGAAGGGCAGTGTCACGGCGCATCCACCAGCCTATCGAGAATCCTAGAAATTAATTCCTATCATCTAGTAAAATCTACTTTAATCAGGAAAATAAGATTATAGCGTTTATTCTATATTATACATAAATAGATTTAGGGATATATAAGGCCGGTGTTACTGGTTAGTTTTAAGTTTAAGTTTGACTGTGATATGAGCTAGATAGTGATTATTGTTGCGAGTTGTAAAGAGATTAATTGTTGAGTTAGTTATTAAAGTAATTAGCGTCAGAGTGTATAGTTAGGTGGAATAAATTATTGCTGTGTTAATTGGACTTTGATTTTGGAATAAACGAAACGGACCCAAGATTTCTGTCACGCACTCCAGAGCCGTGACATTATTTTACGACTAAAGTTCAGGTAGAGCGGCTCAAAAAAGTATCTCCTTGCTTGAGCTTAGTAGAATTAACGTGAAATTCAATAATCAGAGAAGTTTAAAAATCTTTTAGCCGACTTTCCAAAAGCTGAAATTTGAATTAGACTAGAAATAGAATCTTGAATTTTGGATTTCTTGAAGGTAGTAGGTACCCAATTTTAAATTTCCATATCTTGTACCCAAGCTACTACACATTATGATGAAATTTTCATGGATTACCTATGGCTCTTACCAAATGCTTCAGAAATGATTATAATCAACATTTCTGAGCTTATAGTTTTTGTGGAAATAAATTTTAAAATTTCCGATAAAAATTTGACTAAAGCCCTACTTTGAAGCTTAGTAACTCTGTAACTGCATACAACTAAATTTTGTTTAACTTACCTATAAAGAATTCAAAGATATTCCAAGAATGTTTATTTTAGAAGCATTTCTATGATATCTATCTTGATGACCTCAGGAAGATCTTTCTGGAATATTTTGAACTAACTGGTATATTGGTCATTGAACGTCTTAGAATACAATTCCAGCAATATCGTAACTTAAAAATTGAATTTTATTATAGATCTTCGACCATATCCTGAAGCAGACCCAATAAGACCCTACAGCTATACCCCGCCAGCAAGAACAGCCAAAATAGGCAAACAAGCAGGACAAAGAAGCCCACCATTGAACGTGGCACCGCCTTTCATTCCGGATCCCGATTACTCGCCCCCTGGATCACCTAAAGTTAAGGGTGTACTCAGACCGAAAAGCAACTATGCTGATTACAACATGTACTAGTTGATTTTTGTAAATATTGAAAATGCTCTGTATAAAACAACGTAACAAAATTTTTATTTAAAAATTTCTATAAATACATTACATTACATTATACATTCATTATCGTTGTACAATATCAATTATAACATTTAGATTGTGGAAACTATAATTAAAAGTATAGGGTAAGTAAAAGGTAGGTAAGCCACTGGATTTAATTTTGTTATTATTTGAGTTTCTTCTTTTTTTGTATCATGTTTAAATCCTTATTCAAATCAGACATGATTAAAAATTCTAGACATGGATTGAAAGAACACGGCTCACCACTCCTAACAAAATGGCACTAAAAATGAAACCTAGAACATTTGTGCGTTGAAACATTTCCAAAAAGGTTTACAAAAAGCCCTGAATGTGTACAAAAAAAAATCCCAATACTCTACAAATTACAATCTAGTAGCTTCCGAACTAGTCAAGACTGGATTTTTACTAGCCTCAGTCCTAGAACTTCGCCTGGCGGCGCTATAGTAACCAAAATTAGGATCCGTAGGGCTTAAAACACTCTGACGAGGACTCTGCTGAAAAAATCTCTCCCCACTATCAGGTCCTGGAGAGCTAGCGTCCAAACATTCACAGCTAGCACTAGAATCAGTTAGGTTCTCGTTGGAGTATTTATTTGGTACCGACAAAAGACTTTCAGTGCTTTTTGTCGGCTGAAAGTATCTACGCTGAGTGTGAGGAGTATACTGAGGTGCGTTTTTATCTACCACACGAACGTATTGCATTTGAGGTGGCTTCTGAGAACTTCTGGCTTTTTGGCATTTGCTATTTGAAGCGTCAAAGTAACCATAACCGAAACCGTAACCACCAAAAGCTTTTGTGGTTAAATTATCCCAAGATTTTGGCTTCACTTGATTGTATTGAACATAAATAGGCTCTTGCGAGTAATGTTGCTGAGAGTATCTTTGCTCATGCTTACTTGAATTGCTTTTCTGACTCAGCTGACGTGAGGCATTGTCATTGTCCCAGTAAAGTGTATCGGTACTCAATGAAGTTGTGTAGCTATTAGCACTACTCTCGCCAGTCGCATTAGGCGCTGGATTGCTCAGCTCACTAGAAGTACAGGAATGCAGACTGCACTGACTCACTAGACCAGCGCCGATGTGAAAGTACCGTCTTGGTACCGAGGCGTAGCCTTGAGATATTTGGGAATGCGGTCGTGGTCTTGGCGCTTGTTGCTGAGGCTCAGTCTGTGTCTCTTCAGTCTTTGACTCTCGTTTTCTTGCGTCTTTTTGGCTTCTGGATCGCCTGCGAGCCGGAACGCAGTGCGGATCGCAACAGGGACTGGCCAAATCGTAGGCTTCCAAGCTTGTATTGTCACCTGGAATTTTCCAGAATTGTGATTTTTATGGCAAAAGTTTGTTGATTTGCTTACCATTATTGGTGTTGTTTACGTTGACGCAAGGGTTGCACAAGTGTCCGCCGTAGCTGTGACAAGGTCCGTGGCCCTTTTTGGATTTCTCTGCGGTTTGCTGATGGTTTCTTGTAGGTTGCTTTTGTGGGGTTGGTTCGCAGGGGGTTTTGATTATGAAATTTGGATCGTTCCTGTCGTATCTGTAATGGTAAATTGAATATTGTTATAGAATTGCATCGAGATCCCGGCCAGATTCTAAATCAGCCAGTTGTTCTAGGAATTCCATTACTATATTTGAAATTTTGAAACAAAAATTCGTCTAGATAAATGCGGAATACGATGTCGTTTAAAAATACGGCATAGTGGTCAGTTTGAAGTCAGTTTAAAAACGAGATTTGCTGTGTACGGTTTGATAAGTGATGAGTGAATTTTTATATCGTGTCATCATTGAGATTATTGGCAAGACAATTATATATAGACACAGATGCGAGTTACACGGATATTAAAGTTCTCCTGTCGTAAATACAAGATAAAGCAGAGGGTGCAATGTGCGAATTACGAGGAAGAAAAAGCAAAACAAAATTTATGTAGGAACTGTAGGAAGTATGCAGACATTTTTCATCATCCAGACATGTCCCTGACCTTTAGAAACCAAATCAAACACCATATTAAAACCAAAGATGAGATTGCAGTGTACACCAAGTCATATAGATATCCACATATCCATGAAGAGGAAATTGATCAAGGTATTATCAGACCAAGCCAGTCACCTTATTGTTCTTCCCCGAAATTGATAATTCCAAAAAACCAGACACCTCTGGAAAAATAAAATGGCAGATAATAGTGAACTATAGGAAAGTAAACGAGAAAACTATCGCCGATAAATACCCAATTCCATCTGGAAGTGGTTTCCACCAAATCGAAATGACTAGGGAGATATATGCAAAACTGTTTTCAATGTCGACAACAGCCATTACGAGTATGTCCGGATGCCTTTTGGACTAAAAAACGCTTCAACTACGTTCCAGACGGTAATGGATAACGTTTTGAAAGGCCTCCAAGCTCCAAGGAGAAAATTGCTTAGTGTACAGCACATAACTTCAAGAACATCTGGTTTACTTATCTTTCAAAAATTTCCAACATCTCACAGAAACTGGATTCAAAATTCAAATGAACAATGACGATAAGGGGCTGCCCGCAGAGGTCCTAGCCTTGAACCAACGCTATGGACAGTAGTCATGCAGGGCTGGTTCCGCAAACGAGGAGTGGCAAAGAACCAGCAATCAGAGACTAGTTGAGACGCAAGCATATATGCAGGCGACCAATTGCTAGTTATAGTAGGCTTCCTTGGCGATATTGAACGCAAGTAGAAAGCGTGCAAGACAAGGGAAAAGTTGGGAAAAGGCTAGCGATGTCAAATACAATCAAGACAAAATAGAGACATTTTTCATACCCAGACATAAAGACATAAGTGAACCCAGAATAAAGATCGAGGACAAAAGAATATCTGAAATACCTATGAGACTCGCTTTCGATTAGAAAGAGGAACTACATAGAAAACTTGCGTATATTACTAGAATCAAAGTGGAGAAGCTGACCATGGCGATAACGACATCTGAATGCAGCGGCTAGAATTAGACCATTGCTTTTATTGACCCGCAGCGCATACGCCACTACTGCAGTTTGTAGGTGAGTCAGTTTAGATAAAAGTGTTCTGAGTTAAAAGTGGATCCGGAATCCTTGCAGTTGCTAAATATATTTACTATACTATTACCTCTGAGGTTCAAAAGTAAGCAAATATTCTCCACTAGAACTAGTCGACGGTTGCAGCATGTACCGATAAGCACTGTCAAGATACTGATAAGTAAAAACCAAAGGTGACTGTTGCTTGTTCTGAGCCACTTTAGCTACATCTTCAGTAGACACTGTAGGCCTACAAAACGTATAGTAGCCCTGTGGAGTGGGAGGTCCACTGTTGTTGCTCTGCGAAGCCTTTTTCCTGGCTGGTAGACTGTGCGTTTTCCATTTGCCTTCCAACAGTTGTCTCTCTTTGATGCACAACCGTTCCAGTTCGTCCATCTTGCTTTCCAGGACGTTCTGTAGCTTGATGTAGCGCATGTGCAACTCTACTTTTCGGACGCAGTCTTCGAATAGAACGACCATGCGCATTCTGGCTTCGCAATTTTTTATGTAAGTGACTAGGGTTTTGTGATCGGCTTTTTCCATGTCGGTGCCGTTGATTGAGAGAATGACGTCACCTTCTCGCATACCAGACCTAGAAAAATTTAAATGATTACCGGATAAAACAATAAAAAGGTTTTCTACCTATATGCTGGACCATCATAATCAACATAATCCACATAAGTAATCATCTCGATCTCTTTTTCCTTTTTGTAATGGATGCCGTAACTTTGAATGGTAAAGCCGAAGCTGCCATTTTTCTTTTCCACTATGATTGTACGTCTTCTGCGGTCTTCTTCTGGTTTTGTCACTATTACTTTGTCTGATTGCACTCTTTCTAGAATTTGGGCCTGAAAAATACATATAAGTAGGTTAATGTTATTATTCGTGGGGATGAAGCTAGTGATAAAAAGTACACGACCCTGTTATCTAATAAAAGCTTTCGCAATTGGTTTATTGCTTCGTCAGTCATACTAAAATACATAAATTGTTGAACATAAATATAAAATTAAATGTATAAATTCTAACGGCTACTCACAGGTCATGAGTTCTTATGTAATCTAGATAGATGTCATTTAGATTGTATGATAGTGTAGAATAAAATATAAAATTGTACTTGAATGTAGACAGATTTGAAGATTTTTTGATTAAACGTGGGCAATATGAAAGAACAAATATACATTAAAGGTTTAAGGTCTTAGAAAAGGTTGAAATAATTAAAGGTAGATAGTATATCGTCGGTATACTGCCAAAAACCACTAAGTCAAAAAAGTTAGTTCTGCGAAAAAAGGCATTTCAAAAATAAATAAATTTAGAGAAGAGTTTTAAGGCACACTTAGTTTAAAATTTGCCGAATTTTACATAGTATGAAACAGCGTATATTAAAGAACGCATCTAAAGAAAATAATTTGTCTTGAATAAAAAACAGTTTGGTTTTACTATTTTTTTCTAGATGGATGCTAGGACTTAATTGATTCTGATTGGAAGAAATGACTTAATTAGTTTTGCCTGAATATAATAATTTTTAACGCTAATCTAAGTGTTTTTTTATGAAAATAAAAAACAGTTTTTAAATTACTTTTTATTGAAAAAAAAAAACACAGCTCTAGTCACAAAAGTCTTAAAATGAAAAAATAATTCCAATAAAAAAGTTATGATTAATTAGCTTCCTAGATATAGGAAGCTATGGTGATTTTGAACATGTCAAAATTTCATTAAATCTTGACGTTTTGGATCATTTTAAGCCTTTTTGGCAAGGTGACGAGAGACGGCTGCAGAGAATCTGTCGTCATAAGGTGGACGAGCGAAAAAAATATGAATATTAGTTGAGGCACTAATTAAGAGAATACGCGAAGGCTGCCTGCGAAAATCCTGCCGAAACAGTGTTTTTCAAATTTTTTTATTAGATGAATAATTACAGTAACTATCTTTTAGAGGTGGACATGAAATGAAATCAGCATGTTGTAGGGGAGCGTGAGACGAATTCAACCATATAAGGCTGCCTGCCCCCACCCTGCCGCAACACCCTTGCAGCCTGGCTAAGAAGGTCGGTTTTTTATCAATAACTATCGTCATCAGGTGGACGCATAAATTAGTTCTCAAATTAAAGGTCTCGATCTCCTTTTTCCATCAAACTAAGGTTGCCTGCTCAAATCCTGCCGAAAAGATGTGGTTGCCTCGTTTAAAGTTTCCGGTACGAGCGCCGCGCGCTAGGTGTTTGCGGAGCGTGAGGTGTTTAGTGGCGAAAAAGTCATCTAAAAAACACCGAAACGAGTTTTTTTTTTTGGTCCTTGTCACTTTGCGTTACTTCTCTGATATTGAAATTTTCGATAAGGATCTATAAAACAACACGTCAGGATCTAACACAACGCGACGCACACAGGCAGAGAAAAATTTCGGCTATCATGTGATGTGCTATAAAAAAGTAACAGTCCTTAAAGCTCGATACAAAGTTCTTGAAAAAAATAAATATATCCCATTATGGTTTGTCGGTGACTCGATGCCAATGACAGTTAATGATGTCTTGGTGAACACTGACGAATCCGATGAAAATGAGAATGAAGATTTAGATAACACTTTGGATAGTTCGGATTCAGAAAGCGATTAATTTGGGCAGTCAAGTAACCGACTGCGACGTTTTTCTAAAGAATGTAGGTACCTATTATAGACCGTGAACTAATGACAAATTTTGAGTGTTGAGCTCAAAAAATTAAAATTTAGCGACCTCACGTCTGCATAGGTATGTATATGTAAAATTAATTTTCCTTTCACAGAAAAAAATAGTCCAGTCGCTAAATTTTCATTTTTTGAGCTCGACACTCACATAATTTTCAGTGGTTAAATTCTCAGAGAAGAGAAAACCAGTCACCAAAAATCTGTCATTAGCTGACCGTTTATTATTCATCGATAGACTATAAAAATTTATATTTTGAAATTTAGTTAGGAAATGTCATCTTTTTGACATTGACTTGTTGTCAAAAGTGGTTCATTTTAACACAGACGCCAAAATAAGCAGGTGTTCTAATACAGTGTTAAAATGAGATCTCATTTCATCCCTGAGTATTGAAATGGGATTTAGAGTGCGTTCCGCGTGAGTGTTTAAATGAGTTTAAAAGTATTTTGAATTTTAAATATTTTGAATGAATCACAAAAAATACTGTATGAAACACGTCGCAAGGCTGGTTTTTTGCACGTAATGTATTGGACCAATCTTCACATCAACACACTCATTTTACAACTTGTTGCATAAACAGCTAATTCCCTACAAACATTTTTCTTGAGTAATATTCGACTACTGAAAGGCCAGACGCAGTCAGAAACAGTAAAATACATTTTCTTTGGGAAATTCAATTTCATACTTGGCATTTCACAGTCCTTAAAAGCATTATTGGAATACGCATGCGCTGACATAAAATTCGCAACTAATATCGCAGAAAATGAAGATATGTACTTTCAATTATCAGTCGTAGTCATGTGCATTGAAAATTATCAATAGTAATATAACGAGTGCAATGGAAATTATCGATAATTTTTGGGAAATTTACCCGAATGCATTTTTGGTTGAAAAAATGCACGACTGCACGTAGTGCACTAGTGCCTTTTTCAGTTAAAAACGCATGGGTGCAAATTTGTCGGAAATTATAAATATATCTCCGTTGCACGAGTTGTATTTTATTAGAGAATTTCATGAATCAAAAATTTAATTTTTTTGTCAAAAAATATCAAAACACCAATTACTGTGCAATTATCGCGATAATTTGCACTAGTGCGTGAACATAACCTGATTGATTCAAACAACAATCAAAAATTGTCAGGTTATTGTTGGCATATCATATCATATTCTCAATAGTAAATTGAGAATTTCATACATCTGTCAAAACTGACATTTAAGGGATTCAGTCTTTAAGCAATTGAAGAAAACTCTTTTCTGCAAGCTTGGCCGAGCTTTCGAAAACGATTATTTCTTTTTCCAAGGCTATTGAAAGAATGGGTATTAATTACAATAATTAAAAAAAAAAGTTAAATTTGCAGTAACATTTTCTGTTAAAACATAAAAGAATAAATTTCTTTGAAGCTTTTGGCAGTTGTGAAAATTATGGAATTTTAAAAATTAGGTTTAACTATTTTTAAATTTTGAAATGTAGGAATATATGCAACTTGAGTCCTGTATTTCTTTATTTTTGTTTTATCAGGATATATCAAGAATCTACTCATACCTACTGTATATACACCAACTGAACGTACTTTAATAAACGTTTCTTTTCAGAAAAGTTCATGCTTTCTTTTTTTAAGCAACCAATCAACATCTACCCCTTAACCTCCCCACCCCATCATGGACCTGAATTCAGTGGCGTAGCCAAAACAAACGTGGACGTCGGCGACATCTGAATTGCGAGGCGCTTTTTATGTAGGGTGGCCATAATAATAATATTTCCTATGACAAAAAGCTGGATATAACGACAGGGACGGGTAGCCGCTGGCCGGCAGGCCCGCCGAAGGCGGGAATTTTTTGAGTGTCGCGCCGCTTTTTTCGGGTATATCCGTATATCAACGGTATTATTCTAAAGCCATTGCAGATTAAAGATTCTGAAGGTTTCGAAAGGTCTTAAGGATAAAGACTCTATAAAGACCAGCTTTGGAGACCAATGCAAGATTCTAAGGCACTTGATCTAAATCCTTGGAACTTAGAAGAATCCTAATACTTTGAACAACTTAGAGATCGTGAAAAGTTTTGAGGCTCATGACTAAAAACTGGGGATTTTGAAGTCTCCGAAGACTCATTTTTTCAAATATTTTGAAATGAGGACTTAACTTAGATCAGAAGATACAAAAGATGTCGGCGTCTTGATCAATTATTCTAGGGCCATTGCAGATTAAAGATTTTGAAGATCCTGAAGATTTCGAAATTTCTTGGGGATAAAGACTAAAGACCATAGCTTTGGAAACCAATGCCGGATTCTAAAGCACTTGATCTAAAGCCTTGGAACTTGCAAGATTCCTTATACTTCGATGCCCTTAGAGAGCCTCTTGAAGAGTCTTGAGGCTCATGACTGAAAACTCTGGTGATTTTGAAGTTTCTGAAGACTCCTTTATTAAATATTTTGAAAGAAGGACTTTACTGAGCTAAGATCAGAAGATGCAAAAGATATTGGCGTCTTGATCAATTATTCTAAAGCCATTGCAGACTATGGATTCTGAAGATCCTGAAGGTTTCAGAATGTCTCGGGGATAAAGACTCTAAATACCACAGCTTTGGAGACCAATGCAAGATTCCAAAGCACTTGATCTAAAACCTTGGAACTTGGAAGAATCCTTATACTTTGCAAAACTTAGAGATCTTGGAAAGTCTTAACTGAAGACTCGTGGGATTTTGAAGTCTCTGAAGACTATTTTTTTTTCAAATATTTTGTAATAAGAACTTTACTGAGCTAAGAAGACTTTGAAGACCATAGCTTTGGAGACCAATCCAAGATTCTAACGCACTTGATTTAAAGCCTTGAAACTAGGAAGAATATTTATACTTTTAACACCTTAGGGATTTTGAAGCTCATGACTGAAAACTCTGAGGATTTTGAAGTCTCTGAAGGCTCATTTTTCAAAATATTTTGAAATAAGGACTTTACTGAGCTAAAATCAGAAGATGCAAAAGATGTCGGCGTCTTGATCAATTATTCTAGGGCCATTGAAGACTGAAGATTCTGAAATTCCTGAAGGTTTCGAAATGCTTTAAGGATAAAGACTCTCAAGACCATAGTTTTGGAGACCAATCCAGGATTCTAAGGCACTTGATCTAAAGCCTTGGAACTTGGAAGAATGCTAATACTTCAGAATACTACGTACGAAATAACAATATTTAATCAAAAATAATAATATTTTTCAATTTTCAATTTCCGACAATCTATCGAAAAAATAAAAACCATATGATTTGAGAGTTCTAGGTTATTTTGCAGTAGAATTAATAATGTTTAGTGAATTCTATGATATTTAGTTAAGTTTCGTATAGGATTAAGTTTATTTGTTCTCTACGTTTTATTTTGGAAAATCGAAAAGTACCAATTTTTAGGTTCGGTAACCTATTTTTTGCGAGGCTCTTTAGGGCGCGAGGCCGTCGGCAGTGGCCGACGTCGCCGACGCCTAGCTACGCCACTGCCTGAATTCCTCTTGATATCAAACTATGCTTTTCATGACGTGTTGTTTTATAGATCCTTATCAATAATTTAAATATAAGAAGTAACGCAAAGTCACAAGGACTACAAGGAGCAAAAATAAAAACTCGTTTCGGTGTTTTGTAGACGACTTTTTCGCCACTAAACACCTCGTGCTCCGCAAATACCTAGCGCGCGGCGCTCGTACCGGAAACTTTAAACGAGGCAACCACATCTTTTCGGCAGGGTTTGAGCAGGCAGCCTTAGTTTGATGGAAAGAGGAGATCGAGACCTTTAATTTGAGACCTAATTTATGCGTCCACCTGATAACGATAGTTGATAAAAAACCGACCTTCTTAGCCAGGCTGCAAGGGTGTTGCGGCAGGGTGGGGGCAGGCAGCCTTATATGGTTGAATTCGTCTCACGCTCCCCTACAACATGGTGATTTCATTTCATGTCCACCTCTAAAAGATAGTTAAAGTAATTATTCATCTAATAAAAAAATTTGAAAAACACTGTTTCGGCAGGATTTTTGCAGGCAGCCTTCGCGTATTCTCTTAATTAGTGCCTCAACTAATACTCATATTATTTTCGTTCGTCCACCTTATGACGACAGATTCTCTGCAGCCGTCTCTGGGACTATATAGTCTGGCTAGTGGTAACTTGGTAGAGACGAAAGGGGGAAGAAAAATGGGGCGTAACCTAAAAATATTCACTGACACCTCGACTGACACCGCCTGATGACAACCATGTCTTTGGGTTCAGTAGCACCGAAAACACCAAGGAAATAAACGAATAAAATTATTAGAATTTTTTTTTATCTAGTTTCGCTAATAACCACGCCACTGCTCGCTGTCGTTCAGGTTCTAACCAATAGAATCATGCCTCTGAATAATCACGCCTCTCCACGTCTATCATTTCGCAATGTTGCCGAATTTTTTTCTATTTCGAACTTTTTTCAAAATAATACACATGCCCATATAGCAAAAAAAAATATGGCACCAACTTGTTTATTATTGTTTCCGTCAAGTTTGGCAAAGCAGCAAATTGTATTGCAGTTCGCCTAGTGGAACGGCGAACTATACAGGATGTCCCAGGGAAAACAGTCCACCCCGGGTTTGGGGTGAGAATCTGGGATAACTCTCGGACACGTCGATGTTTGATTTGAGGGGGAACTATTTTTCAGTTTTTTTCATCTCCGTAGCTTCAACCCCCTAGCTAGGGGGACAACAACCCCCCAAATTTGAATAGGGAATAGGGGTCGTGTCATACCTCTTTTTAAAGGTCTCATCAAGTTCTTTATGGCCCTAGAATTTCATCTTATTATTTTCATGCGTTACGAAATGACAGCTTGTCAAAATCTTGGAAATGGACTATGTATTAGTAGGAGTAAAAGCAGTACTTATAGAATTTTTAATACCTATTTAGAAGAGTACCAGTCGTTCTAGTGACAAAACGTATGTCGCTTCTTGAAAACACAAATAAAATTGGGTTAGGAATTTCCTATTTGTAGATACATGAATTTGACGTATTAGCAATCGACATTCGTTTTTGTTGGTAATTTTTTGTTTCATCTGATTCGTGATTAATAAATAAGGATGAGATTATTCTAAATGGGTATTAAAAATACTATACCTTCCTTATTAAAAATACGAGTGAAAATACCTACAATTTACAATTCTCATGTACACCTCATTAATAATAATAAGAAAAAACTTCATTTCAAGTATTTTTATTAGGGGACGTAAGTATCGCTTTTACTCCCACTAAAACTAATAGTCTATTTCCAATATTTTGACAAGCTGTCATTTCGTTACGAAAGGAAATAATGAGACGAAATTCTAGGGGCATAAAGAACTCGATGAGACCTTTAAAAATAGATATGACATGACCCCTATTCAAATTTGGGGGGTTGTTCTCCCCGTAGCTAGGGGGTTGAAGCTACGGGGATGAAAAAAACTGAAAAGTAAAATCTGTTTTTTTTTTTAAAGATAATTCCCCAAGTCAAAAATTTAGTAACTATGTTGGCAACACAAGCCTTTTCTACATGAAAAATTTGATAGCATTGACAATTTTACATTGTATTGCCAACCTAATGTCAGTTTGACTCTTATCTTTAAAAGAAAACGCACTTTAGTTCCCCCTCAAATCAAAAATCGACGTTTCCGAGCGTTTTCCCAGATTCTTATCCCAAACCCAATAAATCGGGGTGGACTGTTTTCCCTGGATGTATGTATGTGTGTGTGTGTGTGTTGGCATTTTTCTGAGAAAACGGCTCGATGGAATTTGATGAAATTTTGGAAATAGGCATAAGAAGACGTGCAGGGAAAAGTTACGCAGAGATATAGGAAAAAAAATAATTCCTCTTCAAGATATGACGTTATTGATCTTTTTTTTAAAGGGGAACGCCATCTTTTTTTTCATTGATTGGTTAGAGCTCATTTTGCTTTATATAATACATCTGGTTTTTTTGCTTTCTCTTAATCATCTTCCTCTACATCAGAGTCTTCAGCACCTGGTTCTGCAGTTGAATCCACAACATTTTCTGCACACGGCAAATCTTGATACCATTTCTGAAGTTGGTGAGGAATAATGTTTTTATCACAAAGCTTCAAGAGATCCTTCTTCTTGGCTTTCGAAATAGGTAACCTTTTTGAATATAGTTGTGCTATCTGTATGTCTGTCTCTTTATTTTTTTCTGCAACTTCCTTTGACAAAATTTACGTCAATTTCTGTGTAACCGTCGATAAAATTGTACTTATAGAAAATGGAGTTTGGATATTGCTTTGCTTGTCATATTTAAAAGCCTTTACTTTTAGCCAATTAACACTTTTTCCTTTTTTGTCAGTTTTCTTATTAAACACTGTTTGTAGAACTAGTTTCTTCAGATCTAAAAATTCATTAAAATTGATCTCTCGAGTTTTGTAAGGTTTTTGTTGTCTTTTTTTTAGATTTTTTTGTTTTCCTGGCCATTTTAAATACGTTTTCGTCATCAACGGATCTCCATCGAACTTCCTCTGATTTTCTTGGAAGTTTCTCATACACTTTCTCGAGACTTTCGTCTTTCTTTTATCATGAATGTTAAATTATGTTCATGAATTAGAGACATCTTTAAGGCTTTGTTTGAAATGTACCTATATGACAAAAAAATACTTTTATTTCAACTTTCTCAGGTTTCCACAACGTTTCCTTGGATGAAGGTGGAAGGTTTTTATCAAATATCGATAGCCTGTGTTACAGACCACCAGAATGATCCCAATTAACAAAAAAATTATTCACATAATTTAAATAATAAATCAAACAACAAATCAATATGAATATAGTGCGTGACTTTAATATCGATTATATTATTATGTCTGCCATTGTCCTACAATTGGAACGAAACATGCATGAATCATGAGCCTGATGATTGTTCATAGGAGACAAGTATTTTATTCGTTGAGGGTTTTCAATCGGAGAATAACCCGAAAATGTATTGAAAGTTTCACTTTTGTTAATATTCAGGGCACTTTTGATGTTATGCCTTATTTGGAGCCTATTTTCGTCAAACAATATTTTTAGTAGGTACATATGAAGAACTGTATGTGTGTCTGTTCCACTTATATGGCTCATGATATGAAGGAAAGCGATACAAAAAAAAATATTTTACCTATACATTATGAACTTGAAAATTTCGATACTACACACGCCAACTCGTATGTAAAATATGTTTGTACAGTTTTCTTTTTTCCTTTTCTCGATATTTTCTTCTGGGCCTATGCAAAAATCCTGAAATTACTGGTTTTTAGCTCAAGTGTCTGCATTAAAATAAGTTAATTTTGAAATTTGGCTCTTGAAAATAAGCAGTTTGCGCAGTAAAATTGTGAAACAAGGTATTTACATAGTAGCTAATTTTCCACTGACTTGGATTTATGGTAAAAGACTCATGAGTACTGTGCTAACATTTATTTATCACTTAATAATAAGTAAAAATCTAAAATCTTTTAAGCTATCAAGAAAACTGAGTCAATTTGATGCAATGAAATAATGTGAAATGAAAACTTACAGGACTAGACGTCGCCACACTGCACTCATCGTCACTGCTCTGAGCCTGCGATTGACTATTCTGATGACTTTGCCTCCTCATTTTCGAAAAAAATGCTAAAATGCTTTTGCAAAAGTGTGCTTTATTTGTGCGATTTTCCCTTGCCGCTCGCCATTGTCTTCTTATATACGTGCTCATACATATTTTATTGAAAAACCATTACGCCCACCCTATAGATTATTGAACTTTGGCACTTAAATAAAAAACGGTCCTTAAAATACTCCATCGAACCCGAAACAAAAGTATTTTCGAAGGGACAACAGCTGTTCGATACCGTCTATATTTGCGTTAGTGTTCATCCACCATGCGTCGCGACGACGACCTCTTCAGGGCCGCTGCTATCGACGTCGCGACGCTTTTATACAGGGGAGTTTTGAAAGGGATGCAGTGGCGGATCAGTAGTAGGAGTTTATCAAATCAGGGGCTGAATGTAGACTAAATTTTTATCAAATATTAAACTGGCCCTTGGTTCGTTATTGGATCATTTGTCCAAATTTTTCTTGTTGTTATTGGCTTTTGATTCGCTGGACGATTTTTCTAGAGTGAAGCAAAAGCTGGATTTTCTCCAGAAAAATTGATCAGCGAATTTAGAGTTATTTTATAATCCAAACTTGTTTGAATAGGTATGTAATAAGTTAATTTTTGGAAGGTCAGTTAATTTGTTCAAAAAAAAGTTGTCCTGCTACAAGCAGTTCAAGTTCTACTCGGTCTAGGTACATATGCTGTCCATACAGTATTTTCAGCTGAATCTTATGATATAACTAAGCGATTCAATCGTTTGCTTATGCATTTAGAAAGTATATTTAGCGTGTTTGAAATACCAGATGGTAAGAAAATGGCATATTTACTTTCTTACATGGGTTCAGATGGTTACAATATACTTTGCGGTACAATTTCACCTATACTGGAAAACCTGATGACATAACATTTTAAGCTACTGTTGAGATTTTATGCTATAGCATTACAATCCAGAACCATTAAAAAAAGCTAAAATTTTTAGATTTTCACAAAGGAAATAACAAGATGGTAAAATGGTACAAGAATAAGAATATTTAACAAGTTTACGAAAATTAAAGACATGCAATTTTGAAAACGATAGCTTTTGGTTTTCGTTCTCAAGATATTCAGAGTCGATTATTAGAAATTAGAAAACTAACTTTGTAATAGCCATTGCCAAAAGCATAGAAGGATAGCTGCTGAATTAGATCACTCCAAAAATTTGTTAGATTTGAACCAGCTGAGGTACCAATAAGAATATATCTTACCCAACATTTAGCAAATCGATGCGATAAAAAGTATTTTTGTAGTTTTCGTGAAAGTCTAGGGCATCTTACCAATTTTTCTATGAAAAATGATAATTGCAATCAAACGCACCAAATTGAGGAAACCACAAGCAAAGTTGAGTAAATTTTGGCTGTTGAATATCCATATTGAGTTTCACAACAAGTTTATGGTTACTTTGAAAATAAATTAAAGTTCTCTCGAAATTGAAGCTGATGCTAATAGAAATTAGACCCGTGAATCACAATGTCTTTACTGTAAAAATTAAATAATCAATCAAGCAATCAAAAACTGAATTTCTGATATCTCAAATCTGTATCGATAAATTAAAATGAAACAAATTAACGCTACCGTAATTCGACCCCCCCTCGCTTGTCATCTTCTAAAGTAAATTCTTAAAAATAATAAAAACAAGGACAAGGTGATGACATCTCTAAAACCCGATCAATGAACTTTTGTTAGCGAAGGCCTTTCGGCGTACCAAAAATTGAGTCGAATGAGTTATGGCATGCTTGAACCCAAACGTTTTGACCTCAATAAATCAGATTATTGCGACATAATTAATTGATTTCAGGCTAAAAATGATATAAAATTCCAAGAAAATTGCATCATCTTAATTGTCATGGACAAAGAGATTTGGGAGCATTGATTTTATATAAATACCGCATTTGAGTTGCCGGGGGGACAGTTGCCAGTTGAGAGTTGTCCAGTCCAGTTGAGTTAAAGTCTGTCTGTTTTCGCGAAAAGTTCTTTTATGGCGTAAGGCCTCGGAGAGAAAACGCGTTCGAGTTGACTTAGAAAAGTAGCGGAAAGTTTTGAAATAAAGTAATAACAATTGAAATTCGTTCTATAATTTATGTGCGTGCTAGCTAAATATTTTGAGTAATTAATTAAGTAATTTTACGTGTGTTTTATGGACAAAATGTAAGTACTCTATAGTGACAAGATTTATTTTTGATGAACATGACTTTGTGTGAATTTTACTAGAAAAACTTTTGACTTTTAATCACGGTGGAACTTTATTACAATAAAATTAATAACTTGAGTGTTTTATAAAGGAAACATTATCGCATAACTTTAATTACCTTCAGATATAATGACATTTAAATGTGCAAAGAAAATATGAAGAATACTTCTAATGCATTTAACAATATACAATTTGGAGTTGGAATTATGAATTAAACAGTTGAATTTATTAGCTAGGTATAGGAATCCGAAAATAGAATTTGTTCTGATAAACTATTAACTGCAATAGGAAATTTTGAAAAGAAACTTGATGACATAAAATAGAATTGTTTTCTTAAAATATTGGAAACTTGTTAAAAAGAAACTTATATTAGAATTTGTTCTGATTAAATAAACTAATTAAAAGGAAATAGGATGTTTCGAAAAGAAACTTGTTCATGAAATAGAATTGTCTTTAAATATGGGAAAGTTGTTAAAAGAATTTATTGTTCATGAAATGAATTTTGAATTAGGGAGTTTATTTTTCAAGTAGAAGTTATTGTAAGATTTTATAAGAATAAATTAGTTGATAAACAAATAGGTAATTATTTTGGGTTTTCATAAGTAAAGGGCTTAGAGATTTTAAAGAATTATTTGATTGATAGTTATTAGGAATGATTCGGATGTAGTGAGATGAGTTAAATTATAATTTATGAGAAATAGTATGAATAGGGCGTTTCTTATTTAGTAGGGATATTTCAGTGGTCCGTAAAAATAACAAACTAGAACGGATGTGAAGTATTGACGTTATAGAAATAAAGAAGGATGTAAACTATTGGAAGATATTTGGCTGATTTTTTGGGTTTTATGTAAAATAAAATATAATTTAGTACACCTCATTAGTTTGTTTCTCTCTCTTGCAAATATACCCTCTTCCACAGATTTTAGATAGCAACTCCAAGTATATAAACACCATCAATATACCGCTCGCCATTTACCATCTAACTATTTACATAGAGTACTTGGGGCGTTTTGCTACAGCAGTAAGTTTGATGAGTTATACAAATGTTTGAAAAATTGTTTCCAGATATACTACAACAAACAGATTTAAATGTAGTAAGTTTCTGTAAATCTAATAACCAGGTCTTAGGTTTTGTTGAAGTAAATGTACAGTATAAAAAATTGTCCAAAAAGTTGAATTTGTACATTGTCGATCATAGAAGGGCATAGGTACACACCTTTGCTTGGTCTTGAATGGTTGAGATACTTAAATTTACTACTTTCAGATATTTCTCGGGTTTTACCAAATAAAATAGTTATTTTTGTCACAAGTACTTAGCAGATGAGTCCTGAAAAACTTCTTTAGGTACGTGTGACAAACACTATTTTTTGTCATACGCTTTTTAGAATTCTTCAGAACGCTGAAATTTGCAAAATTTCCTTAATTTTTGAAATCATAAAGGTGCATCCAGAAAGAAAAAAAAATCCCAAAAAGAAGCATTTTACGGACTTGAATGAGTCCGTAAAATAGCTGTTTTTGGGAGCGTATGACAAAAATAAATTTACTTGCAAATCTAAGTCAGATGATCTAGCAAAAAAATATGATTAAATTTTTACAGATGACAGCGGTATAATTAAAAATATACAAGCTAAAGCAAATATTAAAACTAATGCTACACCAATTTTTTATTAAATCCAGAAGGGTATCTTGTGCTCTAATGCCAAAAACAGAAAAAGAATTAGAATTTATAGAAGAACAAGGCGTTCTGTAAAAGCCAATAGTTCTGAGTATGCTACATGTATTGTTTCGATTGTTAAATCTAATGGAAGGGTTCGCATTTGTGGTGCTTCTTGAAGTAACATAAGTCCAAGATTAATTGTCGATCAGCATTCACTTCCGACCGTTGAGGAACTCTTTTTATGACAGGTGTAGAGTTGCGAAGGTAAAATTACCGCTAATTTACGTAATATTACGTAATATTGCCCTTATCCCGGTAGCATCTATAAACATTTCGGTATAGGACTCGACACCTAGGCATATATCATTGGTCCGTTTGAATTTGGATCGCCAATTAATGCGGAGAGCCGAAATCCGTACTTGAATGTTGAACGGTGCTGAACATCAAGTCGGAATGGTTCAGTAGCAGCAGGTATGTGGAGTGCCGAATCTAAGGTCAAAATGTTAAACAGTGCCCAGCTGCAGGTTAGAATGTTACTGTTACTCCGTCAGCGCGGCACAAAATCAACAAACATACTTTTTATTTACTTTTTGCCACATACATATAAGAACAAAACATTTCAGAAATCTTAGACAATAGGACAATCCAACGACCTGTCAAAAAGAAATTCAAAATGGAGGTCAATGCCTTTTTATTTTAAAAAAATGCCGTTTTATTGCGATTTTTGATTTGTATAAAGTCTGTAAAGTGTTGAATCCTTTAAAGGATAGGTATAACCCTTATAAACTCATTTAAATTTCGCATTTCTACATGTGGCAACAAAAACGTCAAAATCAGCTTTAGCCAATCAGAGAGCGTTTTCAATCACGTGATTTTTCGTTTAAATTCTTCCAGCTGTATGCGACATCCTCTTTTAACTTAAAAGCGCTTTTTAAAACTGGTACGTTTGAAAATTTGCATGGTTTAGAATACACATCTTTAAAAGTGACCAGTTTTAAAAAGCGCTTTTAAGTTAAAAGAGGATGTTGCATACAGCTGTTAGTTTTTATTTATTAATTTATTTAATAATCTGACTAAAATCTTGCAAAATATTGTTCATTCTCGGATGTATCAAAAAATATCATAATTTGCCATATTCCTGGCACGTGAAAGTGGCCCATTTTGAATATTTTTAACAATGGCAATAATGGCATACATAATATAAACATCCCTCGTAATGTATTAAAATTTTACTTCATTAACATACAAATTTCATTTGTTTGACAGAAAACCAAATACCCATTATAAGTAGTGTGTGAGGTCCTTTGATCTATATATATAAAAATCAAAGTTCACGGGGTATCCGGATATGCGCTCTAAAACCACTTATCCGATTACGACGAAACTTTGGTAGGTTATTATGGCCATCTCAAGGAAGGTTTGTGGATAAGTTACGCATCTCGGAAAAAGAAATTAATTTTGAATTAATTATTAATTTAATTGTAAACAAACTCATTCACATTACATAACAACATAACCCAACTTTTTTTGACAGCATGAAATAACTTTGACATATTTCAT